TTTAATACGCCACCTATTAGGACTCTAAACAAATACCAAGTTGTGGCCTACAACTTGTAGGTAATGTAGATATCACATTTCGCGATTTAAATAACTGTCATTTAATTTGCTGTATGTGTTTAAGAACATTTATTATCGTTCCATAATTATTATTTAAGTTTAGTTATGTAAGTAAAGTAGAATTAAACAGTTAATCGAATAGTGTGTGCATCATTTGCCGAATAAAAGGGCCACATTTGTTTGGTTTAATAATTTGTCCCGCTTTTCATAAATCCAATCTGTTATTAATAATGAGATTTTCTTTAAATTTGGGTGGTGATTGTATGCTGAAGGAATGAAATATTAGTAAGTTTTTTTATTTATCATTGGCGTACGGTTTTAGGGGGTCGATTTTTCGGCAAAAGGATATTAGGGCTTATTTTAGATAAATTTTTTAATCCTATATAGATTCAGCATCCCCAAAAACCCCTTAATCCATATTCTTAAAATCTTAAAGAAATTTTATTTGCTGAATATGATTAAAAAAGTTTTTACCCCCTAACACCGTACGCCAATGATACCTAAATAAAAAATTTTGCTATGGAAAATATTAAGTGTCTCCAACATACAATCACCACCCAAATTTAAAGAAAATCGCATTATTAATAACTGAGATATAAGGATGGATTTATGAAAAGCGCGACACACTGTATACAGGGTGTTTCAGAATAAGATGCTGAACCTTAAGGGTGCGAATCCTTAGTTGATTTTAAGAAAAAAGTTCAAATATACCTACCCAAGCAGCATTTTAAGTTTAAATAACTACAAATTTACTACTAAGTCAACTTTAAAGTATTTTTTACAGTTAACCAAAACGGTTTTATAACGGTATAGATACGAAAAATTACCAAATTTGGGGAATGGTTTATTTCGTTATTTTACCTACATAATAACCTTTTTATCTACTAAGAGAATAACGTAATAAAAACAATATAAATACCACAAATTTACGTAAAAATGACGCTATAATTACCAACTGTTTGCTCTCTCTCTCTAAAACATTGACATTCCTAATTTCTTTGTTCTTTTAATTTATATTTTACAAAATGGTACTTACAAAGTAATAAAGGCCACCCTAGAGTAAAATTAAAAAATATATCCAACTTAAATTGTCAAATAATATTTTGCATTAAAACTCAAAGGCACATTATTTTATTGATAAAAATACGCACGATACATCTTAAAAATTATATGCCCTCTAAATATTCTACGGTTTTAAGAAAAATTATCGCTTGGGTAAAAATTCAACAAAACTTAAACCCTACAAAATTTTATAAAATCTTTTAAAAATTATTTAGTTTTAATCATTTTTTAATAACTAAAACTTTTCTTATTACATTTTAGAAAAATATTTATGAAAAAAATATTATATAAATGTTTAGATAAGTAATGGATGCCATCTTGAAAAAAATGCTCCCTTAAAGTTTTATTTTTTACTTTAAGCTTATTTTTCCTTGTTTAGTCAATTTTAATAGTATTTATTACCACTAATAACCCTAAAAAATACCAGGCGAATAGGAATTATTTACGGTTATAAAGTGGTCTTAATATCGTAAAATTAGGACTTATGAGTAACATTTACCATTAAGTAAAAATTCTGACGTTAAAATTACCGTTAAATTATCCTTTAGGTGAAATACACTTATAAGTAATTTTCTTTTGTAAAAATTACGTCCCTCATAATACTTTAAAGTGTTGAGACTTAAGGGTTATTAAAATAGGAAAAAATAACATAAATATAACTTATTAAATAACTTTAAAGAAAATTTTACTTCAAAGTAAATTTTTAAGGTAAATTTAACAAAATATTTACTTAAATTAAGTAATATTGCATCAAAGCTCTACGCTTTTACTTAAAATGCTGCTTGGGTATAACCTAACCTCTTAATTTTTAAGTTTTTTTATCATAACTTTAATAACTTCCTAGATATTTTTATAAAATTTGGCACACGTCTTCTAATCATTAACAGTAAGTTTTTGATTTAGAAGATTTTTTATTTTTTTTACTAGTGGCGTCCGTACAGGATGTGGTCTAGATATTTTTGGAAAAATATTATGCACGCCACTGCTATTTTTCAAAATAAAAATTATTTTTTAAATCCACATTCATTTTAGGGCAAATTTGATTTCTTGACCATTTTTCGTACGACTAACGGTTTTCGCATTAAATGGATTTGAATTTTTTTCATCGAAAACCGTTAGTCATACGAAAAATGGTGAAGAAATCAAATTTGCCCTTAAATGAATGGGGATTTAAAAAATAATTTTTATCTTGGGAACGAAAGAAAAGGGGCCTCGCTGATGCGACTTCGCCCACGTCTATATTAGTCCACGCTACGCCACTGCTTATATCAACCAGCCGCTACAATGTCTTGCATAAAAAAATACTACCACCTTTTTTAAACGATTTAAAATTGGAACTCCCGAGAAGATTTTTAAAAGGGATTGTCAATTGTCAAAAAGCTTAAAGATGTAAAGTTGTTAAAGACTACCTTAAAAAGTTTCCGAGCAGTAGTAAAACAGCACTTTTAAGAACAGTTTAATTAAATTTATTTGTTTAGATGCGGTTTTGCCTTACCGTATTTTGTGTTCAATAAATTTATAACTATGGTATTTTTTTAATAATAAAAAAATAAATCTTTCCTCAAAACAAGGCCCTTAGTCTTAGAGTTGATTGATCGGTCTCAAATTTTACACAGCTTATTATATTCCAGTAGTCAAACTATGTATGTTTTATGCCAGCTGCAGATGGCAAACGAATAGTTTTACTAAAAGCCCCGCCCCTCAGCTGCGGTGGAGGCGTGGGGATATTCGGCCTGCCCACTTTTAGTAGGGCAGCAGGGGGGTGGGGGTTATCTGCCTTTGCAGGTGAGCTGTGATTGGGTGGTCAGCTGTTGTTTGGCAGCTATTTTGAATGACTAACCTTACTTACCTTATATCTTTTAATTAGTTTTATCTTAAAAAAAAATATTTTAAACACTGAAAGTGCGCGCATTCAATAGGGATTGCTCAATTAACGAAACAATAAAAAACATAAAAAAGTAAATTAAAATTGTTTTATTATAATTAACTTATTATTACTTTTATTTTTATAAACAACCCGCTCCTGCGACCTAGATGGTGGTGGATAATTTTCCATAACCCATGCAGGTGGCAGGTGGGGGAGTGACAGTTGCGGGGGCGGCTGTTGCGGGGGCAGCAGTTGTGGAGGCGACAGTTACGGTAACGGCGTTTGAGGGGATGGCGGTGGTGATTCCGTCAGGTCCACTGTTTTCCTAAAGAGAAAAAAATATTAAAAAATTAAATAAAAAAAAGTTGGATAATATATTACATATTTTGCTCCTCCTCAAAGCTCGCAAAACAGAAACAAAAAACTTCGTTGCAAAATCTGCACGGTTTCGCCAAAAAATTCAGTGCTCTGTAAAAAAAATGCGTAAAATAAATAAGAGTTTTAAACCTTAAATATATAACTTACTCCTTTATTGAAATTGGAAGCGGCAGTGGTGTTAAATTGCTAAAAGATACAAGTAAATAAAAAAATATATAAAAAATTTAATATTAAACTTACTTTTCTGAGTCTAAACGGGTTGTTGTCGTCATAGGTATTGAAATTTATAAAACTATGATGCATTTAATTAAAATATTTTTCTTATATATAAAATGTTTTATCTTAATTTACACATTTAACTGATTAATATTTTAAAGTTAATCCATCCATATCTAATTGAAAAAAAATATCATAAATAAAATAAATAATTAAAGTTAATGTGTCCAATAGACAATATATATTAAGGTTAATGAGAAAAAATTCAGAGATATTTAATACGTACATTGGAACACCTCAGGGCAGTACTCTGGGTCGGTGATTATCGATTGCGCACAATGTTCAGTTTTTACCTGTCAGTATAAAAGGATTATTTGCAATATTTGTATACGGGGTGATTTTTATAGTTCTTGAAAAAGGGAGTTAAATTTTTTTTTTTAATAATAAGAATGCGATTTTCAATTTAAAAAAATAACTCATTTAAGGTAAAAAAATGTTTAATATTGTTAAACATTGTTGTCAATTAATTAATTTAATCCTTATTAAGGTAAAAACTGACCGCTGTGCGCAATCGATAGTTACCCCTCTGGGTCCCTTGTTATTTATATTGTTCATTAATGATCTCCCCCAAATACATTAGTGTGGAAAAACTGTTTATGTTTGATATACATTTAATTTATCTTTTTGACCTGTCATATTTAACATTTTCTGTTGTTTATTTAATAAATTATTATTATTATTAATTAAGATAAATAATATTAAATAAATAACTTACTTTGTATGGTTATATGAAATATCACACCACAGAAAAAGTTTTAGTTAATAAACTTGTACTGATGTTATTTGCGATTTTGCACACCATTAATACCAATTAAGTACGTCATATTGGTTGGTACAATAGGATGTTGATAAGAAGTAAAGCAGTAACCGCAAACTGTTTTTATGCGTGTATTGGGTAAGTAAAACTTTTGATTCTTTTTATTTTAGTTATTATTATTCTATTTTAAAAATCTACCATAACTGCAATTTCTTTAATAGCAAAAAGTAATATTTAATATTGAAAATATTTTAATTAGACTTTGAGATTGTAAAATTAAAACCGAAAAGACTTGTCTGAAAAGGTACAGGAAGTTTTAATGATTATTATTAAGGTAAAATAAAAACAAATTTATTTTTTATATTTTTTATTTGCCTGATAATATTTTAAATTACATTTTTCTATAAGGTTATTATTCAATATATCCAGTTCGTTTAAGCTCAGCAATTATTTCTTGAAATTCCCGATCTTCTTCATGTAGCTGTTTTAAACGCATAACAAGCATGTTTGGATCAGCCCAATTATGAAGAATATTGTATCTTGGTGTAGTAATGTTTTTGATATTTTCATGGGATTTATTATTGTTTTTAGTAGTAGAATCTAGGCCTTGCTTTCTTGACGTAATGTTTCCATACCTTCCACGTTTCTTTTAAATAGAGGTTTAATGACTGTATTAAATTTTTCTTTACACGCTTTAGCCCTCAAACGGCCCACAGAATCTCTGTGAACCCCTGTCATCTCTAATATCTGTTTGTATATTTGCGCATCATTCGCACTAAAACTTCCGGGATTTTTAGAAAATAGGAGTTGTCGTAGACCTTCACTACTATTAAATTTTTTCTCGCCCACAACTATATGATTATCATCAAAATTTAGAGATGTATTACCCAGCAACCACAGACCATTTTTCAATTCAGGGCCGTAAGCAGTATCTGTGTTATTGCAGGAGTATAGGCTTACACCATTTGGTGTTTCCGTGTATTGTGTAGCAGGTACGGCTACAGCAGCTTATTCTTGATGATCAGAGTGTTTTTCATTGGACGATTGTACAATTTGTTTCAGCGGTTCTGTAATAGGCCTGAACACGTTTTCCAGTCGCTTTTTATTATCATCTTCCATTCTCTTCAAGTCATTATACTTTTGTCTAACAGCTTTGCCAAGTTCAGAAATACGTTGTTTACACGACATGATGTAAGCTAATGGATGTAAGAGCCTTATGTAGTTCTATTTAAACTGATGTACATGTGCTGTACATGTCGTGTACATGTGCTGTACATGTGCTGGACATGTGGTATACATGTCTTGTACATGTGGTGTACATTTCTTGTACATGTGGTGTACATGTCTTGTACACCTGATGTATGTATCTTGCACATGTCTTATAAATGTATTGTACATGCCTTATAAGTGTCTTGTACATAGCCTGTGTATATCTTGTACATGGCCTATATGTGTCTTGTTTATGTCTTGTATACATCAAGCGATATGTTTAAAAGAAAACTTGTAGCTAAATGAGTAACCTTTTCCTTTAGTTCTAAACCTTAATAATTTAAATTTAATTTGATAAGGGTTATTTAAATTACAACAATTTATCGTAAAATAATTTTATATAATTTAATATATTTAAATTATTGTATTTACAATTTCTTTTTACACTTAAGGATTTTATTTCTTTGTATGATTTTAACACATATTTTGATTTATTTAAATAAATTTTATAATTTATTATAATAACGAAATAATATTGTATAATATTACGCAATATCCTCTAATGACGTCATCACTATTTTCTTTAGATAAGGGTTTAAGAATTTTAATTATAATGAGGTTAATAGTTTTATACAAAATGTGTATTATTTACTCGATTCATTTCACCGTAATTACTACAATTACTTCGTTTAAATGGTTCTTTGGATTCTGTATTACAACTAAAAGCTGTAAACTCGTTTCGACCCATGATATGATTAATCAACTCTAGTGCATATCCTTTTCTTCTATGCTTCTCTAAAGTGTGAATATAGTTGAGCGTTTTTGGGTTTGTATGTTGCAGTAAAGGGTCGAAATCCATGGATGATAGTAGAGCAAATGAGACTGGTTTTTCATTTACAATGAGAATATAACAAGTAATTTTATTATCATGATACCACTGATCAATCAAATCGTTCTTTATTTTAAGCTGTCTAATTTTCCTGGAAGCAGAACACCCCATAAAGAACTGCACATTTACCATCTTTTAGACAATTTGAGATAACCTGCGGGCAGTGTTGTTACCAGCGGGAAAAAAGCGTAACTACTACTACTATAAGTTTAATTTTATTTCAATGTTTTTTCATGGATAACTTGACGGAATAAACTTTTGTAGTTATTATTGTGCATTTTTCTACTTAAAATTTTTCAATAAAATTTAGTAGGGTCGTTTTGGGGGGTCGTGAATCCAGTGCCGTGCCTAGATTTTGTTTTAAAAAATCACTAATATGAATTCTTAAAAATTTACTCTTTAAACTGACATAGAGGCCGTGTATTTTGTACAAACATGTAGTTTTTTGCTCCAAAAATACAGTTTATTAAAATCTACACTTTAAAACAAACCCATTTAAAACCGCGCAATAAATAAAGATTTTACAGGGGTGAGTCGCAAACAAATGGGTCAAACTGTATATATAATTATTGTTGAAAAAAAACCAAACAAGTCTTAAAAATGTAATAGATTTATTAATTTTGTAATGACGTAATAGATTTTTGGCCGTTGTAATAGAACTATTACAAATGTAATAGACGGAACAACACTGCCTGCGGGTGTTATCGCTACTTTTTATACCTGTGATAACGTTCAGTCTTCCGTCCGACCATTTCGAAAACCAAAAAAGGCCCCCGGGTGTTCCTATCTCCCTGTGTTAAAAGTGTTCGTCTTTCAATGCATTAACCGCAAAAGCGATAAAAATACGATACATTTAACTATTTTAATTTTAATGCAAGTATTTTATATTACAAATTCTTAAATTCGACCTAATTAATTTAAATTTACAGGGAGTGCAGTTTACGTTATTAACAGTTTTTCGGGTAACCTTAAAATGGACGTCAAGGTGACAATACCACAATTTGGCCTTGAACACCTTATCAGAGATGAGTCACCATACCAAAACTGAGAAAAACTTTTCATTGTTTTTGAGTGCTGTGGTGTGTGTGTGTGTGTGTGTGTGTGTGCTGTCCTGTCTAAACGTGAGTATTTCAAGTTTTTTAAAAATTTAAAAAGGCCCCATGGTGTTCCTATCTCGCTGTGTTAAAATTGTTCGTCTTTCAATGCATTAACCGCAAAAGCGATAAAAATACAATTAAAAGAAAATTATATTTCACACATTATAAGTTATTATAAATTGAAAATCAATTTGTTTTTTATTGCAATTAATATTTACCTACAAACCTACCAAATAATCATATTTGTTATATTTATTTTCTGACAACACAAAATTGTCTTAGGTTTAGTGTGATAATACCACAATTTGACCCTGATTTTAATTTTAATTGCAATAAAAACGCATTTGTTTTAATTTAGACAGATTTGTTTTAAGAGTTGTGGTGATGATTACAGCGTTAAGTCTAATTTTTTTAAATAATTATTATTATGTTGGTACAATTGGAGATCTAATAGATAGCGGCGATACAATGATGCAATGTTACGCTAAGTATCAGGGTCAGTTCGTGGTTTAAATAATTATTAAAAAAATTGGAGCTCAGCGGTGTGGTCACTGGGTATCTATTATTCAGGTATTTATTATTTAAATTTTTAGATAGACCTGGGGCCCCCATGATTTCCAGCGCAATTTGGCGATGAGTCCGTCCGAAGGACTGAGGGCCTCCGGGGCACCCTAAAATTCGAAGGGGCCCCCTAAAATTAGAAGCGTTTTTGGGCCTCAAATTTTCCAGGGTCGGACCGATAGGCGGTGGTCTCAACCGGCGAATTACCTACTTATAAAAAATCATATAACTTTTTTTATTTATAATACACACTTTTAATTAATTTGACATCAACATGTTATTTTAGGGAAATTATTTAAAATCTCGTTAGCTTCTCCTACATAAAATGATACAAACGTGCAGTCACATGTGTAAAGGTTTGGGTCACAGGGAAACTAGTAAAACATCAACATTTGTTTACACTTGGATTTTATTCTCGTCATACCTTTACTTTGGTATCCGAGCTCGACTCCCCGTCACATTGCATTACATATACATTATATAGCAATTAGTGGGTCAGTGCTTCGGTTGCAATATTTCGTACAGCGCACCACACCTTCCCCCTTAAGGAAGTAAATAATAATGTCCACTATACTTTCCCTTTTTAAAAAGAGAAGATTAACTAACGAAAAATCCGTGTACGAACCATTTTCAACCATATTTCAATTACATAATATAATAGACAATTACAAATATAAAGTACATGTTACCCTATCTTAAAACTTAAATGAGTATAATGTAACTAACCTAATATCATAATATATTTTGTTTTGTTTATATATATAGAATCTGACATACTATAAGCTATTACAACTAATAAACTATTCCTGGCCAGGATTATCCTAGTACTAGTATTAGGATTATCCTAATACTAGTAACCCATTTATATTATATATTATACTGACTTAACCTATTCTTATGAACTAAACATGATTTTCCCTTATTGTCCCTTATTATACAATTCGGTTCAACTATATCTAACACTTTAAAAGGTCCTTTATACACTGGGTCCAGTTTGTGTCTGGCCTCGTTTCTCACTACCACCCAATCACCTACGCTTATACACAATGGTTTTGCCGAAGCATCGAAAACTGTCTTTTGCTTAGCTTTATTTTGCTGCAAATACGCATTGGCTCGGCAGAGTGCCATTTGTAAACGATACTGAACTTCCTTCGCGTACGAGTCTATATTGTATAATGGATTAACGTGCAATTCTGTAAACTCATTTGGCAATATTGGATTTTTTGCAAATATAAGTTCAAATGGACAGTACTTATGTACCGTTGACGGTGTGGTGTTATAGCAATATGTGAAATACTTAGTCCACTCGTCCCAATCGCTTTTATTGTCGTTTACGTAAGATCTAAGGTATTCTCTATGAATTCGTTCTACTGTCCCTACTGTTTGTGGCCTATAAGGTGTTGAAGTACAATGTTTAATTTGAAATAATTTTGTAATTTCTTCTATAGTCTCATTGACATACTCTGTACCCATATCTGTGCGGATCTCCTTCATTGGTCCGTAAACTAAAATGAAATTTTCGAAAATCGCGCTTGCAAGGGTTTTAGCCCCTTATTTGGAATAGGAACTGCTACGAGATATTTTGTTAAATCGCATTCTATCGTGACTAAGTACGCGTTTCACGATAAAGAACGTGCTCTCTAAAAATGAAATAGTCAAAATTCTACTATTTGAATTAGTGCCAGCATTTTTTACTAATAAAATAGTCGTTTTCACTTTTAAATAGTTATTTTTTACTATGTAAATAGTTAAAGTTTGACTAATTTAAGATTAGTCACCATATTTGTCTATTTCTGACAGTTAAAAGTAACTAATTTCTTTAGTCGTTTACGGCCAACAACAAAGTATTATTTGAATTAAATGCATATACCTCTCCATGGTTAAATGACCCATAAAACAAATAAAGATGCAAAAAGTTTAGCTCAAAATAGCAACACAAATAATATATTAAACTTTAAAATATTATGAACAATATTTATTGACAAATAAAATTAATTTTTATAAGAGCGGCTGACAGCCGAATGCGTTAAGAGGTTAGCTTGACAAACTTGTCAAGTGACAGACCTGAGTTCAATCCCAGGCTGGGTCAAAACTTTTTTTAAATTTAAATTTACTAATTTGACTATTTCATTCAGTGGAATTTGACTAATTATTAGTGACTGCTTTTTCACTATGACAATTAGTCAAATATGACTTATAATTAGTTATTTTTGACTAATTCATTTTAAGAGAGTGGTAATGGGCCTACCGTATCAATTATTACGATATCAAAGACTTTAAATGGAGTGGGAGTAATTGTAAACGGTTCCGAATTTTGAATTTTTGATTTATTAAGTTGACACTGAGGGCATGTTTTGACAATCTGAGATATATGTTTTTCATGTTTTTCCAAAAATAGTCGCTTTTGACCACAATGGCCACAATTTTTAAATTATGAAGCTTTTTTCCTGTTTCTTTAAATTTTAATAAAGATATATACTCAAATATTTTATTATTTAGCTCGAGCTGAATATTATTTATTCCGTTATCCTTCGCTACTGTTTCAAGCTGAGAAAATAGTTGCGCTAGAGCAAATTTTTCTTTAAGGACATTTTCGGAAATTACTACATTTATATGAAGGCCTTTTTTATGACATTTCTCAACTTTTATATCTAGTGTATTATGATTCGTTATCTTGAATACTAATTTAGGAAAACTAAATGCTTCAGAGTTTTTAAGGACTTCGTAAACTTTTAAATTTGTAGTTGTAGTACCTAATTTATTGTATGTTGTTATTGCTAGATTATTATTTCTACGCATTGACCTTGTCTGCATTGCTGCCAAATATGCTTGACATATTTGTGTTTCTTTTAATTGTTCTAAATCTATCCTAGATAAAGCATACGCTCCGACATTATTTTTTCCTTGAATGTATTCGATGGTAAAATCAAATTCTTCTAAATCTATTGTTTTTTCAGCAAAATTTTTTATAAACTTTCGGTAGTAATTACAGAACGCTACGAAACGTTTAACTGCATCCGCATTGTCCGGTCTAGGATAATTTTTGATAATCTCAAATTTAGATTCATCTGGTAGAATTCCTTGGTCTGTTAATCGATGCCCCATGTTACGTCGGTTCTGAAGAATTGACATTTTTCGGGATTGAGTTTAAGGCAATGTTTTCTGCATAGTTCAAATACTGCTTTAATATTATTTAAATGATGCTTTTCTGAGCAGCCTGTTACAATTAGATCATCCATATACATAAAAGCCTTTTCAAGTGAGAGTGATGCGAATGCGATGTTCATCATACGCTGAAAACTATTAGGGCTCACAGATAAACCAAAAGGTAATCTTTTAAAACGAAAAGTTCTTGAGTCTACCGTAAAACTTGTAATATCTCTCGAATTTTCTTCAAGAGGAACTTGATGAAACCCTAACATTAGATCTAAAACTGAGAACCATTTTGCACGTCCTAACTGATCTAAAATATCA